TTTCTTCCTTTCATCAATATTTCACTTTTCTCAATCATAGGAGTGAATGCCGAGGGTAAGGTTGACCGCTCGACATGGAAAGCTATCCAGCAAATTATGAACGACTCGCAGAAGTTTGTCGAATCTCTACATCACGTTCCCTGGAAAGAAGGACTACCCGACGACATCCTCAAGGGTGTTCAGTCCTTTTTGGCCACTTCCAGCGGCGGAGAAGTCTCTGACAGTGACCTGCGCACTGCTGCGCCAGGTGCCAGTGCGAGTACTTACCAGTCTTCCCCCGGTCGAACAATGATTACCCCAGGTAATATTAGTTTGAGTTAGTGAGTTTATAGTTTGCTAGCAGGAAACGGCCGGCGAAGGTTAGACATAACGCAGAACACGTACCATTTTCTTTGACTATTCTCTTTAACGTGTCTTCAAACCGAAGCCTCTTTGTAAACCGAAGATTTCGATGTAAGACAGTTATTGAAGGTCCTTCATTCCTGGATTCGGCGGATTAAGTACGCTTAACTATTAATGAAAAGGTTCAGATATGAGCCCTTGTGTGGTCACTTTGATTTAATCTGTTGCAAACGTCTTCACTCGTGGAGCGCCGCGCTCCACCAAGAAGTTTGAGTGAATGGTCGGGAACTTTGATGGAAACATCATGAATTGAGAGGGAGGGGTTACTGGCGATAGATGAGCAGCATCCCGTCCTATCGCAGAAGAAACACTCCATTCACTTTACATTGAAAGCGAGATAAACTCTGATAGAAAGAGACCAGTAGGCATGTAAGATAGGGCCATGACGAAACGTAGAAATTTCATAATACATCAGAGACTTTTAAGTTAAAAATTATCTGTTAAAGGAAAATCTCGAAATAACGATTGGTAGTTAATAGCTTTTCAGTGGTCTGTTTTTCTCCATAAATTTTCCCAATTTCTTATTATTTTTAAACAGAAAAGAAACCACAAGGAATCACCATCACAGCAGCTAAATATTCATCAGAGGATGCTGCGGTTCTCGTGGAGTACACTGTTGCTTTAGTGGAGTACACAAGTCGGTACCATCCTTACAAAAAGGCTTGCGATACCTTGGAAGAGCTGATGACGGAACGCGAAGAGGATGAGAGACGAGCTGAAATCGATCAATATGCAGAAAACAAAGAAAAGGAAAAGGCAAGGAAAGGTTTTGAAAATCATTTCCCCAAACAGGAACATCAAGGAAACCCGACAGAATTATAAAATTCTTGTGAAAAATGTTACGCGGCTTGTCTGATGTAGCGTTTCTGACCTTTTGTAATTCGTAGGCAAACTCGTGTGGGATTACACTCAAATCACCTTGGTAAATTCAATATATTGGCAGTCTGAAAGGATAATTGATATAGGTTTAATTGGCAGTCGTGGTTGAGTAGTTAACATAAGGACGTAAGGTCTCTCTGCCTCAAGGGAAAGAATCATTTAGCAGCAATTTTCGACGAAATACCTTTCTTTTTCTTCGCATTCATTCATCGATGCAATATGGCCATTTATTGCTCATTTTGTTACTTGAAGGTAAACACGCCTGAGCCAGAAGTCGAGCTGACCGAAGCTGACTTGCCAGATCTCCAAGAAACTGTAACAAAGCTGCAGAAAGAGTATGATGATGCAGTGGTGGTGAAACATGACCTTAGCAATGATGTCAGGTCATGTAGTGAGAGGCTCAAGGCTGCTACCGACTTATTGCATAGGTAAAGATATCTTGTGAACTGTCAATCTGTCTGTCTATCCATCTGTCTGTCTTCCTTGCCTTGTCTGCCCGCATTTCTTCTCTTTTCATTTATCTGTCTCTTTATGTCTTTACCCATCTGTCTGTGTGTCTTTCTATCTGTCTGACTGTTCATTTGTCTGTCAGTTTGTCGGTCTGGGTCTTTGTTTGTTTCTCTGCGTATCTGTCGGTGTCTATCTGCCTTTTTTTTTCTGCCTGCTGATTTCTATGTCCGTCTTTCCGTCTATCTGTCTCCTCGTGTGTTTGTCTGTCACGCTCTCTGTTTGACAATTTGATATAGGAATGTAGAGGCAATGAAGTTATTTGTGTTGGTTGGTGGTCGACATGGGTAAGCAGTTGTCTCGTCAACCGATAGTGGTGTCACCTGATTATGATCTGTAACTACTCACTGCAATGAACTCTTATAGGAAATTAGAGTTGACCATGTCTGAAATGAGTTTAGACAATAGGACTGGGTCGTAACCACAAGTGCAACATCAGTGCGAAGAATTCTAATCCAACTACAGTCTTACTTATTCTGTATGGATATTATTAAATCAAAACGAATTCTCCTCATACACATTTGGAACTCTGGGAATCTAAATGATACACCAGTTCGTACCTGAAAAAGGTTGTTGAGTACTCCCCATCCACAAGGTGACAAACACAAAATTTGAAGTAGAACATATAGCAGATTTCTATCAAGTTGTATTTGCAGCTGAAAACGAAAAGAATTACTTCCCTTCCTTTCTTGTTACATGGGTTGTGTTTGGTAAAATTTTCGTTCGTTTATCGTCATCATCACTATTATTATTATTATTATTAATAATGTCATCTTATTTTTGAATGATTATTACTTCATGTAGCCTGAAATACATGGAGCGAGAATGGAAAGCGTATGTTGACGAGTACACCTCATCTGAAATTCTTCTGTCCAATTGTATCGCTGCAGCAGCTTTTCTAACTTACTGTGGTGCAATGGGAGTCGACAGGAGGTAACCAAATCAGTTGATCTTGAGCTCAAAGATTTCAAGGAACGCGTAGGGCAATTTGCTGAATTCAATAGAGCTTTAAAAAACACCAATTTTTCTATTTACGCAAGAAACCCTCGGTTTCTTTTCTCTCTTTGGCCCTTTAGAGTGACTGGCATCTAAATTCTTCCCTCGTGATCATTTCTGAATCACAGAGGTCACGAGGATACGAGGATAAAGGAGATTATCACCAACTAAAGAAGCTCTTGATTGATAAAAAAATTCTCCGTGTCACCACCTTAGGGAATGTATAAAGAACAGTATGAAGAATACGCATATTGATGTTATAATGAAAAGGGTTAAAAGTGACTAGAGTGATTTTTGATTAGTAGTGACAGTAAATACATTCAATTTTAACTTGACGGATTTTTTTTCATACCCTCAGTGATCTGCGTGCTATTTATGTATCAATAACCCATTACTTTGTTTTCCCTCTCAGGAAACGGATGGGCAAGTTTTTCATGCAAGTGTGCAGGGATAATGGTTTGAAAGTCCAGTATCAGCATCTCTTTGATCGTCATACCCTTCCAGAGTTCCTAAAGGGAAAGGTTTGTTAGCTTCATTGTGATGTCATAGTGTTGCGATGTATTTAAATCTAGGAAATGTATCGATAGTAGGGAGTGTTATATTTAGCAGTCTCGATTTTACTCAATATTGTTTTCCACGACAGATAAAGCTGTAGTAAAGTGCGAATCGATCTTATTTTGTGATACAACTCAACAGATTGTTCTGAAGACATGGGAGAACCTGCAGCTTCCAACAGACCCCATCTCCATGGATACTATATGCATCTTCTCACAGGAAGAGAGTTCGGACTCGTGGGCTTTGTTGTGTGATCCTCAGAGAATCGCTATCACTTGGGTATTGACCATGTTAGGACAATCGACACTCGTCAAGTACAAGGTGACAAATCTTGACCGGAGTGATAAAAAAAATTGTTTAATGAACACTTTGAAATAAAGTAAGTGGCCTATTTTGTGTGAGCTCTTTTGGAGAGGTAGTTCCTTCTTTTTTCTGGCATCGTGCAAGGATATGACAGATTTTGGTGATATTATTGAATCTGGTGATTATTCTCTTGCAAAACTATAGCGGCATTATAAGGCCTGTAAAGGTTCGCTTTTGGTTCTGTTGTTTTATCGGGTTTGACGGTTCAGCTGCTTTATTTCCCTCTTGTTTGTATCCATTGTCTTTTTAGTTTGAATTGTTTATGATTATTGAAAAACGCTGTCAAAATAACTATGTGTTTCTGACTCTCTTGTTTGTTGCCTCTTTCAAAGTCGAGCAGTAGAGCCCCTGATACTCCCAATTGAGGTCTGAGGGATTCAGAGAAGTAGTTCATTAAGCATTGCGCTTATCAGCTTTCTGTGTGTATCTCGACAGGAACTTCGTGGTCATCTGGAGACATGTTTAATGGAGGGCACCACTCTTGTAGTGACTGATGTGGATGTGAACGAGTTAGAGTTTGATAGTCGATTCTACTTCATACTCCGAAGTCGCTACAGATTCCTTACATCAAGTACACCATTCAAACTCATGGTAAGATCTTACTAAGGAATGCCAGCAATCTAAGATTGCTGTTGTAGCGTAATGAATTGGTTGAAACAAGCCGCTGACCAGAATTCTGTTCTACTGAAGTACTTTGAAAGATATTCGGTAGCTGATAAAGACGGATAGTTATAGCAAGTAGTAGTTTCGTCGCCGGTTTTGTGATACGCCTAAACATTATTGACAGACAAGTGTTTGTGACAAACGAGAAAAATTCTCTCTTGAGACTTCTCATAGCACCTGTTTATCTGTTTTTATATAAATATTTGTTTGGAAAGAGACAAACAAGCTGATTAGTCATAGGCAAGACCTAGAAGTAGACATTGAGATCACCACAAACAACTCCAGCTGATAACAAGAACGGGATTTGAACCCAAAGTGACTTTCTTGATGTTGGGTACTTCAGACCTCTCGGTTATGCTGCCCTCGCGTATTGTTGTTTTCATTAATCGTGGTATTCACACAATTCTGTTCCAGGTTGGTGAGCATGAAATTGAGTGCCAACCAGGTTTCAGGTAAGTTATGCAACATTTTGCGCGTCAAATAAAAAAAATGTAATCTGCTAACCATGCAGATTTGACAAGCAGTTATGGCTTGCAACTTACGTTCAACAAATTCAGACTCAATTGTATGAATTATCAGTACAGTTCAGCAACAGTTATTCTCATTGTTATTTTTTTTTTTCGTGAACATACTGAACTGACCGGCCAGACCATAGGTGCATTCTTTGAGAAAGTTTGTTCATTAGTCACAACTCCCCCTGGTGATTATACAATTTTTTTACTGATTGTACCTCCTATTCCGATTGTAATAATCTATATGAAAAAATTACGAGCTTCTGATTGGCTGAAAACGAGTGCATTCTCATATAACTCGAGTGCAAAGCTGTAACGCTAGTGCAAAGTTGTAACACGAGTGCAAAATTGTAACAAATAGCGCGCGCACGCCTTCAAAATTCGTCTGCCTTGACTTTCTGCAATGTTTTCTCATGTACGTTATTAACAAGTATTAACATGATTTTTCCTGGACTTTGGTGTAATAACCACCAGTAAATTTTTTCAAAGACTACAAATTACAATTACCCTACGGGCTCGTGCAATTTTGTTGTCTCTTGCTTATCAACACCAAATTGCACTCGAAATCATGTTGTCACCCATGCTAATTCCATAGATGTTAAGAAACTCTCGAAAGAAAGGTCTCTTCTTGTGCAAACTAATCAGTTAACCAATTGCTCTCTATCTTAGAAATAACTTAGAGCCGCCTTTGGAATTTCCTTATCAAATCTTATCTCCGCTTTTAGGTTGGTATTAGCTACGACGTTTTCGAGTAAATCTGTCCCATCTAGCATAGCGGCTTATGTGAATGTAGTTGAATTTAGTCAGTCACGAGACGGCTTGGAGGAGATGTTCCTGGATAGGTTCCTGAGACTTGAAAAACCACGGATGCAGGAAACAAGGACACAAGTAGTGGATGTAAGTAGAAGAGCAACAACTGTTAAAACTGCTTAGAATAGAGAGCTAGATCGTCAGAAAGGTGTTACAGTGAAAGTGGAGGCGAAGCTGTAGTATGAAAGCTTTCATCAAAATTGAATTTTCTGAACTTTTTCAGTGTGTCCAAACTATACTCATATGATTGCGCTGCACTAAACCGTCCCGAATAGTTGATACTAATAACATTTTATGGCTTGTTTTGCTTATTCATCTTGATTGATTACAATAATCAACAGGGTACGCGTCGCCTGATTAAGCACTATGCTGTGATTGTTTGAAATGCATCAATCACAGCGGAGCTTGCTTGCAGAAGACCAACATTTTGTGGTCGATACGTGGTGAACTACTGCGGAAGAGACTACTTCGTGAGACAAATGATAGGACTACAGTATTATATGGAGGGACTGTTAAAAAAATGTACCGCATGAATGGATTTCGCCCGCGAGAGGCTTTTTTGAGCGGCTTAGTCATGAATGTGTGCGCTTGTGTCGTTACTTACAATCTCATCTGTGTGAAGTTTAAAGATAACACTGATGGAAGTCTTTCTCTTTTTAATTTGGCCATTGCCTTTTGTAACAGGAAATGGTGACTCTTATGGAAGGTTTGCGTGAAGCAGAAGAGAACATTTTAGAATGTTTAGGAAGTGGACATCGCCTTCTTTACAATTTAGCAGCCACCAAGAAACTTGCCTCTATAAAGAAACAGCACGAGGAGATTGTTGAAGGGTTGGTATTAATTCTTTCATTCCCGCGATCGAAATGTAATTTTTTCCTCCTTGTCGTTTTTTTTTCCCTGAGAAATTTCTGCCTAATCAAATGATATCTTAGAATTGATACTTTTTATCTCTAATAAACTCTTTGCTTGAAAAGGCAAAGATATCATAAAGAGAAATTGTTTTTTAGTCACCCCTGGGGAGGGAAGGGTTACGTCTGTTCTCTGTAAAGGAAAACCATTTGGGTGCTTTCAACTTGTTACAAAGATTTTAAAACAAAAAACCACACCAGGGAAGAAAACTGTTCTGATTGTTTCCTGACAAAAATTTATTAAAAGATTCATTTTCATATGTTTACAAGTGACTCTTCAATACCTCTCAATTGTCTGTCTCAAAAATTGTATATGTTAACAACCAACCTTTCTTTTATTTTTCTGAAGCCAAACACGGTCTCGAGGCATTGAAAACTCTATTCTACAATCACGTGAGGGATATCGACCAATCGCTCGCCGAGCAGCAGTGATGTTTGATGTTGCCAGGATCATGGCTGAGATCAATACTTCTTACCAGACCTCTCTCGCCCAGTTTCTGATGGTGTTTGATGCTGCTATAAAACACTCAGAAAGGTAAACCTGTGTGAAATTAGCCAAGAGATGTTCAAAGGTCAGGGTGAATTTTATGATGGCTTTAGGCCTAAGGTCACGTGTACTCTAGCTGAAGCGACCAGGGTTTGTCATATCGCCTACAAGCTTGTAAATGGGTGCAAGCAAATGATAAAGGGACAGTATGGGAAATGGTGAAGGGGTTATCTAAAGAAGAATGATATTCTGCCCATTGGAGGTAACTTTCCCAATTTGGTTCATGCTTACAGAAACTTTAATTTTCATTAATATATTGATATTCTTCTTTCTGTGATGGTCTTCAAACTGTTTTTTGGCGTAGATCCGCTACATTGGCCGAGACCACGAGCTACTGTTCTCGGAGAAATAGGACAAAATGATCGCGTGAATTAACGAAAGCTTCCGAGCCACGCCCGATATTCTCAAGAAGAACTTTTCACAAACTGTTGAAGGTTTTACTCTTTTCTTTCTCTTTCAGAACTGCTGTAAAAGCAGTGGTGGAGAGGTTAACCCAAAGCGCGTTCTATACGGCAGCTCGAGCTCTGTTTGAACGAGACAGGCCTCTTTTTTCCTTACTTTGTGCTATTGAGGTAAACTCAACTCTGTCCCTTTCTTTCCCACGGATAGTGATAGAGCCTGTCACCAGCATTGGTTATTTTAGTATGGAGAGATGTCTTTGAAGATGGAAATTGAAAAAAAAATAAGAAATGTTCGAAAATGATTAAATCTTTTGATTGAGACAGCTCTATTTGCAATGATGATATGAGATGAGTTGAGATGGGCTTGTGGTCGGTGCATTGACTCATAAATTGAATCATAACTTTCTTTCTCATGGCTACCCGAGTCATTGAGTTGAGCGACATGCTTTCACTCCACATCCCTTCTTGCCTCCCAGGAGCTTAAATGGGTGGCAGCGACCTGTCGGAAAAGAAGCGACGGGTAGGAGTAGTGAAAATACTCACAGTAGCATGTAACCTAGAGAGGCCCAGTTCGCTCCGAGTGTTAAATCAGTGAAAGCTAGTTTAAATAATTATTGACAGAAGGAAGAAACTTCTCGTTTACATCACCTTCTTCTTCGTTGTGTCCACTTGTAGGTTGAAGACTCGAGTGGTCGTGTGGGCCCTGGTGACCGCGAGTTCTTGATTCACCCATCATTCGGTGCGGCTGTGAAAACCGCGCTTCAACCCAGTGCCGTCTCTGAAGCTGCGTCTCGCACTCTTTCTAAGAAGCCTTTTGATTGGTTGTTAGACGAGCAGTATTCTTATCTTCAGGTGAGTGCCTTGAGTTTCAGCGCCACTTGGGGACAAGAAACCTTGTCTCGAAGCGAATTCAGGAGATAAGAGAGAGCTTTGCCTTCCCGGTCTCTTTGAGGCAAGAAGTCTGACTATTTACATCAATGACTTCAATAAATGATACAAACAGTTGCTAAAAAAATTAATAAACATCTCAGAGGGGGTACGGTAGGGGAATATTCCGGTAACGACAATCCACATCAATCGCGTGCTGCGTTCGTGAGTCATGATACACGGTTAAGGTGTATTTTCCAACCTCAGTTATATTCCTCAAGATAAACTGCGTTGTTGAACTGATACATATTTCTCTGCTTTTAGCTTTTAGCAACCCATTTTGAGTGGTTTCAGGACGCTTTCGAAAAGATGACAAGAGATGGACGTGAAACACAATGGAGGCAAATTACGGAACATGAAAAACCTGAGCTGGTTGCCCTTCCAGACGGCCTGGACGATAAGTACGTTGCGAATGATTATGGCCATGTGATAAACAGGTTTTCTTACGAACACCTCAACAGTTAAAACGTACAGCACATTTGTTTTAAGCCTTTGGATAGCATGATAAACTGTTGCGGTTGCGTTCTATACCTGTCAGAACTGTCTTGATATGAGTTCTTTCTGCACGGTTTTCAGATTTACTCTGATTCAGAGGTTCATGGTGATCCGATCCCTCCGTGGAGACCGCTTGATGCCAGCTGCAACGTGTTTTATTACGTCTGTTTTGGGAAAGAAGTAAGTTTCCAACCTATTGGTTGAAGTTTGACGTTTTCTCACATCGTCGTCTTCAATGTCCGCTTAAAAAAAAAACATGTTTCGTTTCATTTACGAAAACATTTTGAAAACATCACGAGGACGTTCCTCCGCCTTAAGTGTCAAACTATTCTCACTTAAAACCGTAAATTGAATAATGGATGATCTTATTTTGCGTTCCACTCAGGGTCTCACTAGGTTCGATTTCCGTCATTTTCGCGACTCCGGTCGTTGATCTTCCTAAGAGGGAACTTTTAGTCTCGTAAGGAACGCAAAAGGGATCGCATTCCGAACACAGATGGGTTGTCGAGCCTAAGTCACCAGAGTCTTCGACTTATTACCTCTCATTCTGCTCCTGGAATCTTTAAGACTGTATCGCAGTTTCAGAAGGCACAGATTCTTATTGCATGTAATGGTCTTGACTATGAATTTGCACAGCGTAACTGACTCATGGATAATGATTTGTTATACTTGTTGACGATTTTGGCAGTTTTAAGAAATTTGAAGAGGCATATTTATCGTTCTTTTCATTGCTTTATTCCCGACAGATACACTACGGAAATGCCACTGGACTTACCGTTTGCGTATCGTCAGAGCGAGAGTCGCACACCAATTGTGCTGCTGTATACCCAAGAAGCCAATATGGTGGAAAAGTTGGTTATTGAAGGAGCGCAAAGGAAACAGGTGTGCAAGTCATTTGTTTGTAAGAATAGTTGGTGTCAAAAGTGTAACGATTTCTTTGTTTGTTTGTGTTTCAAATTTTCTTTGTTAATACTAGACTTTATGGATTTCTCGCTTCCAATTTGTTTCTCGGCAGGTGGAGTTGCATGTTCTTGCTCTAGCAAATGTTGGAATTGGCGAAGAACGTGCGGCAAGAAAGACGATCCACAAGGCCATGGTACAGGTGTGTAAACTGCAGCAGTGAAACTTGTTAACATTTGCCCTATAGTAAGGTAGAGGTGCTCCTTCTTGCTATTTGATAGCGATTGTAATCGTAAAGCCCAACCAATGGGTTAATATTTCAGGGAGGTAATTCAAAGAAAACGTTATTAGTTGTATACGATTCAGGCGCGGAGACGTGAATGACCAACACGCGGTTGATTTAAATTTGCTGCTGATGTGCTACGAGAGTGCTGCACGTTTTCTACTTTCTAGTGTTTCTTGTGTTTACTTACTTTCTTTGCCAACAAATTTTTTTCTAACCTGTTTTCTTTATCCAGGGTCACTGGGTTCTTCTTCATAACGCACACAATTCACCCCGTCTCCTGGCAGCACTTGACTCGTTCATGCAGGAGACCAAGACAGTGGACAGCGAGTTTAGACTGTGGGTGTCCGTCCAGCCACACCCAGACATACCTTCCTCTCTTCTGCAATCTGCTGTAAAGGTTGTAGCTGACTCACCAAAGGTACCGCTTTAGATATAACGAAGTTAAAGAGGGTTAAGAAGATAGCTAACAGTTTGTAAATCTTTATAGACTTTAGGAAAAGTCTTTAATCACGTTGCTTGTAATCTGCGTTAGCCATCCTCAGTCACACTCGATTCTTTAAAGTTTATTCTTACATTCCTCGAGTTTCGATCGAGTGTCGTAATACCATAACTAAAGTATTCACAACAGCCAGTCATAACAGAGTAAAAAAATACTACAAGGAGCCTGTGAACTCAAATTTTGAAACAAGAAAATTGTACAAAGCGGGGGAAAACATGAGTGACTAAGTCGCAATTGATGTAAGGTTTGGATGTTTGAGAAAGTTGCGCAAGTTTTTCGGGACCAATCACGAAGTAACCCGAAGCAAGTTTTCGGGACCAATCACGAAGTAACCCGAAACCAAAGCAATCTTGAACTACTTTAGGCTCTCGACTGAAAACTGCTCCATCTGTCCTAACAAACGATTATTGAAGGTTTTATTTTATTTTCAAATGCAATTCCCTCTGACATTGATCCTCTTTATATTGTGAGTCCCTCTAATGGCTTCATTAAAGCTGATGTAAGAAATTAGAGTGGTCGTGAACTACTTGTCGAGCCAAAGTTTTGACAGTCTCAAATTCTTCAGTTCACCAAGGGACATTAAAATTATCGTGGCGTACTTCCTCAAAGGTTTCGAGAATTCTCATTACCTTCGGGGGGGGGGGGGGGGGGAAGATTTATATTATACTTATATATCAGCAGTGATATCTAATACAAATTGCCTTTCATTTTCTTTGACAGAACACAAAAGACAGCTTGCAGCGGTCCCTTCAGTGGGTTGATAGCGAACTGATGCGAGTGAGCGTGCGTCCAGAGTGGCCTGCTCTGCTTCATAATCTGTGTATGTTACACAGTTTGGTCCGGTTACGAACAAGGTTTGGCTTGACTGGCTGGAACAAGCCTATGGACCTCAGGAACGTAGGGACTGCGGAACTTTGGGTAAGTATCACGGATCATTTATGTGGTCGATTTCGGTTGTTCACAGAGGCAGATTTAATAATTTGACGTAAACAATTTTTTTCCGCAGCAAGGGTTGGATCTGGCTGTACGCGAGTTTCAAGACAATGCAGATATGGCATGGCAAGGGGCTGGATCAACGAGGCCTATCCAGTGGAATGGATTACGGTATATGTTAACAGAGGTACGCCCTCCCCCCCAACAACCCTCTTCCCCTCCTCTCCCCCCCCCACGTGACCTGAGAAAATGAATGGACATTATTCGTGTGGGCGAAATTCTTAAGCCTAAGCTTAATCTCACCACAATTTGAATGGTATCGTTAACCAGGAGTTGTGATATATTACAACTGAGCTTTTGTACTTTGTACCTTTTGACCGACGGAACTGCTTCCTGTTGCGCTAACTCTGAATGTTAATCACTGAGATTTTCGTAAATGAGAGAAAGCTGTGAGCTGTCATAGCACCGACCAGAAAAGTTCATCTGCATCAATTTCGACGAACTATTTTGTGATAAGGGAATCCTTTTACATTGCGCATATATTTTCATTATTTACGGTGACGTTTGGTGGCGAAAGTCGCGTGGCTGTGAAGTTCTGATAATGTTCAAGAGAAACAAATTTTAATTTAACCATTAAAGTGATTTTGTTATTGTTGTTGTTGTTTTGGTTGTCATGGTTTTTTCTGTTGTCGTGGAAGATGATGATGACAATTAGGAGATGTTGTTTTTCGTTGATATCAGTTTTCATCATGTAAACTGCGGTGTTATGAAAGGATTTCCAGTCCAGAGAAAAGCCGTATTGAGGAGAAATTCCGTATCTACGCGTGCCTATGTATTATTCTCCATTTATCTTTGCTCATTGCGAATCATAATTACTTGTGTTGTGGGAAAATGCAGGTTGTATACGGCAGAGGTGTGAGTGATGAATTTGACCGCCAGGGCTTGAGTGCCATGATTGATTACTGGATCAGTCCAGCCGCAGTCAAACGGGAATTTGAAGCTTCAAAGAGTATGTGTTTTTGTTTTTGTTTGATTTTTATTTTATTCACATTTTTGACAATGGTCCTGTATAGGCTTTTAATTGTATTTTCAACGTATTTTGTCTTGCGTTCTTTTTTCCATAGTCAAGTACAAACTACCATCAGCTTTATTCAGTAGCAACGTGAAACTAAACAGCGTGTGGTCAGCGCTTGAGGGGCTTGCTGGTGAAAGTCTTGAAGTTCCCGAAGCATGTGGCCTACACCCCTCTCCTGAGGTAAGATAAACTGACTATTATACAAGTGGAGCATGCAAAACAGGATGGTTTTTCTAAAATGATCTGTTGTAAAGACTACTTTAAATCCTTAGACACTAAATAGTGGCTAGCATCTAATTTCTTTACGATATCGCCTCTGAACCACTCATGATGGCCACGAGAACAATGGAAATGATCACTAACTAAAAAAATCTTGAGTGTTTAACACAACAGAATATTTACCTTGTGAGATAGAAAACGCAGGAAACAAATCACCAACTGAGACAGAGCAGGGATGGCCAAGGTTGCAGGGGATTAGATGAGATTAAATTCTACACTCCCTCTAAAAATTTCTGGGATTGGCTTCTAATTTTGCACGCAGCTGCCTCATTCAAACCACAGTAACATCGAAACATTATAACGAATATGATTGGTGTGTTGTTTCAGACTCAGCTGGGAGACGAACAGTACGTTTTCACTCGTTTAAACTACCTACTGGATCGTATGGCCTCGTCCGACACGCTCACACACGCTGTTACGGAGCCATCCACGCTCTTGCCCTCCTCAGGTGTTATTCAGCAGAGTTCATCTGCGCACACCACTGGGGCAGGGTCAATTAGTATTGCTGGGGCGGGAGTGTTCGCTAGTGCCAGTCTAGTTTCGTTTCGTAGTCGGAAGGAAGTTGATCTAAACGAAGTATGCACGACAATGCTGGCGAAGATTCCAAAAGTTTGGTCGAAGGTGACTTGTATTCTTCTGAAGTTTCTGTTTTTTCTACTGTTTTTGATCCTGTCAAACCCTTTCTTTGCTGATGTATCAAATTAAATAGGCCTTTTTTCTATCAAAAGTAACACTATCTTGTCTGACGACGGACAAACTAAATTAAAGCTGCTGTCTAAAAAAGAAAAGCCACAGGAACCTTAGCTTAGTATTTTGGAGAGGACGAAAGCCAGCGACAGAGAGCTTTCTTCGCAGTAGTGTGACAAACTTGTACGCCCACTACAGTATGAACATTCTCGCTCCCCTTCTTCTCTCTAAACGTTTCCCGCAGAGGTTTTATTAAACATTCGATTGCAAGAATTTTGTTTTATTTTTAATTTACAGGAGAGTGTCTACGAACGGATGAAGAAGACTGGAGGTCCAAACTCCTTTAACCTCTTCGTCATAGCTGAGATGGAATGTATGCATAGACTATTGGCGTGTGTTCGCGAAACTTTATTGGTAAATGACTTTTGTTTTATTCACTTTTTCTGTGCTACTATGAGACTGTATGTATGTAAGTTTTGGTTGAATTTCTGCTAGAATCTGGCGTATCAGTTAGTTTCCGAAAAAAAAGTATATTTTCTGATTAAAAATTGGTGGCCTTCTTCTTGATTCCATTCGTTTGAGTGAAATTCCCGTAATCCCTTGACAATTCTCTAGACATTTTCCGTATTCACTTTCTGATGGAACGGGAACCAAAGAGGTTTTACTACCTTTTCTCCCTCTGATATCATCAGGAAACAACAACAATTGAGTAGCAGTAAGGAGCACAAGTAAAGTGATGAGAACTTTGAAAATACCTTTTCTTGAGCGCTCCTCCCATAAATGTACAATAAATTCAAACAGCCAAATGAAGTACACGGAAATCTTAACCATTGCAAATCACTTTACGTTCGTTCGTTTTTCGTTTCAATTCTACTGTAGAGAATTTAAGTGCTCTGAGTTTTTTCGGTCTGGTATTTTCTTTGCCGCTAATATGCTGATCTGTTTGTTGCAGTCAATCAAGGCTGCTACTGAGGAGAGTCTCTGTGGTGACCGTATCAGCGAGGAGTTGCTGGACTCTGCTGATGACATGTATCACATGAGAATTCCTAGCAAATGGAGTCAGCTAGGAGGAGAATCCTCCCCTCCCCCCACGTGGAGTTTAGCCGCCTGGTTTACCGACCTTGGAAACCGGTTTTCGCATATTGACCGAATTATTGTGCAGGTAAATAATAATCTATGCGAAGGCGGTTTGATGTTCTTATTTATCTTAATAATCGGCTGAAGTACTTCCTCTTCGTTTATTAGGGTCGTGAAAGAGTACCGGCATATTGGCTTGGAGCCTTCTTTAACCCACGGCGTTTTCTCTCCATCATCAAACAGGTAACAGTAAAACAGCAAACGTTTCATTTGTAAATATTGGGTCTGCGTTTTGATCTCACTTATTGATACCTAATGGTCTTCCATAGGAGGCTGTCAGAAACTATGAAGGAAGAGTTTCAGGAACAGAACCGTTTGTGTATCAAACAGAAATCACTGGAAGAGATAAAGATCACGTAAGAAAGCCTTCTTTTTCTATTTAGGAGAAGAAGTGTACATTCGATGACCTAGAATGTTGTTTTAAAATATCATTGTCTCCTAGATCTTAAGCTCTTCTGTCCTAAGCCACTTGGCTGTTCCTTGTATAGTGCCGTGCAGGCGTTTTAATACAAATTACAACTGAATTTATTTTGTAGAAAACTGAACCAAGCAGCTATGACTAACACTTCTGGTTCTTGTTTAGTCTGTTCCTTTTTCTGTTTCTGAAGAGCGTCGTACCGAATTACAGGATAGTTTTGATTTGACTGATCCTAGCAGTATACAGGAATGGTTTCTTTGAACATCGTTCAGCGGGCCTTCAGATCCCTGAGACTCAATTGTGGTGCAACTCTGATTGTTGCCCTTCGCTCACGCTTAATTCAAAATTACATGTCCAGTAAATCACTTTATTTTAATCGTTTTAACAGCTTGAAATCACAAATTGCTGTTTTATTTAATTTTACCTTCTAGTTGAGAGAACCACCACTAGACGGAATGTTCGTGTACGGTATCTACTTGTGGGGCTGTGCCTGGGAGAAAACCACCGGGGACCTTTTGGACGCTCCTCCAAAGTCAGGCCCAACCCCTCTCCCTGTGGTACACATTGTTGCTCTTCCTCAGACTGAGAAAGCCTCCTTGAATGACCCCGTGCGTGCCGCTGTGTCTTACTCGTGCCCATGCTACTCGTCCAGGATTTGTCAGCGAGAGCCTGTTATGCTTTTGGACGTAGATAACAAAGATGTTCCTTCCACGCGCTGGCCCCTTAGGGGACTTTCTAGTACATTGAGACCTTTTTAAGTGCCTTCCGTAGACACTTGAAACTTATGCACTAATGGCCTCATTTGAAGTAGAACCTTTATGAGTTCTTTAAATAATTACTTCCGTTATATTCCAGAGGTCGTTTTATTGTGCTGGTGTATTCCTCTGGTTCTTTACTCTGCTCAATTGTTCATGTGTTGGTGACTGTTACAAACGTTAGCACCAACGAGTTCATTAACCAAATTCTAGAAGTCGTTTATTGTTACGTCATTTTAAGCAGACAAATTTGTGTGCCAGAGTGAGAGGTTAATTAGCATAACTGAAAAACAGGAACAGTGCAGTTAAAACAAAATTGAACATTCATGCTCATCAGCATGATTCACACTTTGTTCACACCAGATGTTCCGGAGCGTTCGATCTGTTTTTTTGTTTTGTTTTTTTTTTTACATCAAAAGATTATTCATTGCTCTTAAGTCTGAGACCATAATTTATTACTTTGTACTTTGGCGAAATGTTTATCATGGTTAAGTGAATGTAATTGATTTCGATAGGATTCTTCTCGCCACTCACTTTTGTACATAAAATACAGTATTTTTGACAAGTTAGGTGGATGTGTTTTTTGGGCTTGCTCTTTGACCTTTCGTTAAATGATACCAAAAGAAAGACACTTAGCATGCTAAATTACATGGCAGCATCTTCTTTGAAACAAGAACAGTAACGACAGGGTATACTCTCAGCTCTAACTCGAAGTACCCGGCCTGGTTAAATCGGTCCGGCGACTTATCGGACGTGACACCACTCTGTTTCCATGTCTCTTGATGCACCAAGGGTACAGTGAAAGTAGAATCTGCTGATAACCTTGGCGGTAATTTTTGTTGCTCAGCCCGTAGATGAACGGGTTCAAACAGCTGTTGACCAACGCCAAGAGCGAGAGAACGTGGTGTACGGTGTTATCTAGTCCTGTTTTTCCCGCCACTGCCAGGGTGTAGTTAATCTGAGACGGTGCGAAACAGATTATTAATGCCAAAGAAGCAGCACCAACCATCCGCGTTATTTTTCCGCGCAATTTAGCCTTGCTCTCAACTGAGGTGACTGTGGATTTGCTTGCTTTGTAAACCATGTGAATGAACAGGAACAACATGGTCAGACACGGAAACGCCATTTTGAAGAAGGTTTGAATGACTGCGATAATGATGCGGACTGTTTGAGTAGCCGAGCCAAAGTTCCATTTGCATCGGCTATTTGGGGGATTCGACGATATGTAGGAGAGCTGAAACGAATTTGAAGCACAAAGGATAACCGACCACAGCCACACGAGGAAGATATAAACGAGCGTGCGCTTCTTGTTGAAGACCTGGTTGTACTGTTGAGGCTTAACCACTGCAAACCAACGCTCCGTTGCCAAAGCCACACAGATGTAGGCAGAGAAAACCAACAACTGGAAGAGAAACGTACGACTCCAAATAACTCGACAGAAGACATCGCCCAAGACGTGATTGTTAGGATAAGGAAACGCGTCACCAAGGACCATAGCTGGGTTTGTGACAAGCATCAAAGCGGTGAGAATATCAGACATGGCCAAGGATAGAATCAAAATGTTGTAAGATTTCTTCAAAAATTTTCCTTTTTTCACGAGGATGAGGAGAATTACAAGCAGATTCCCAAGAAAGGCCATCGTGGCAATAACAAAGCACGTTGTCTGAGTGTATAGTGATCTTCCAATCTTCACTTCGCTTGCTGGCGCAGCAGAGGAAACAGTCGTCGAAGCATTCGATGAAACATTTGTCGAATTCATATTTGCATATTACTCACAATGGTTCTAGATACTAAAAAGATAAAAGAAAAGTTATATAAAACCCGTTTAATCCTTATAATCCCAGAGGTGATTAACATGTAACTTCTCCCTGTGTTATCAACAAATTATCCTACAAAAAGTGACGAGAATACTAAAACGTATCAGGTAGAAGTTGTTATCGTGATCTAGCACCGAATTCCCGTAATTAAATACGAGGAAATATGTAGCAGCTGGAGGGGGGAAATTTACAATCGGGTCTTGGGATTTTAATGGTTAATTTGTTGTGCATATGAAGTTCCCACGTTTCCCAAGGAGGATTTGTGGGCCACGAATATGAGACATGAACTTATGAGGAGTTGTTTTTGCAAAATGGCACCACACAACTAACAAGCTAATTTCTTTTACACTCAGAAAGAGAGAAAAAAATAAAATCCAATCAAAAAAATTTAAGCCACAAAGAAGAAAGTTTGCGTATCGTGCGAGTACTTTCTCTTGGGAAATTGACCACGAATCTTGATTTAAAGCACGAGAAAACATTAAGTCAAAGCATTTTGTCTCGGTGAAAAACAATTTTCCTACTCTCTTCTCATACTGATTCCAGGTGAGAATGTCGATCTCTGAGATGCAAGATGATCCTGAAATTTATATGCGTACATATCTATGTGCGCTTATTGTTATCACTGAAACATTAATTTTTATCGCTCCAAATTGGCTTGCATTTACATGACATGACCTAAGAAAAAAAAACAAGCTAGCAAGAAGGAAGCTGTGGTATCTTCAAAGATGATCGTCCTATTTTACTGAGGTCCAAGGATCATACGGAAAAATCCATTCGTACCGCACTGTGATTTTTTTCTGATGGAAATTAAAACATCTACAGAAATAAAATAATGATGTTTTTTGGTACATATGACGAAAAAATAAGAAAAACTGAATCCATGGCTTAGTGGAGCACGTGCTCCTTTTCGGTACACCATTCTGGCTAATTCTCTGACCGCAGGAATAAAGGAGAATCGAGAATATCTATGTGATGACATATTCGTCCTGTTTATTCCTATTTTCTATAATGTTGAGGATATGAGGCAAAAGGGAGAGGTAAAGGATACCGTGAGTGAGAGTCATTTTTAAGGTGAAGGAGACCGCGTAAAAAATGTTTCTTGCTGACGAGTGGAGCACCAAAAAGGGGTTAAAACTTACTTACCTACTCTATGAGGAACATTGGTTTGAACCTCTTGGTTCTCTGCAATGATGATTCATTTACACTTTTTACATGACTTTATCCAACTGCGAGTGTTTCATGGTTTTTGTATTAACCATCAGTGATAAGCAAGCTGAGAGCGCTTTACACGTGAGAAATATATGCCAACCAGCCAAACAATGGAAAGAAATAAAATAAATCAAAATTATGAGATCTCGACAGAGTTGTTCGGATATGATTGTAAAAAAGTTAAGTATTACCACAAAGCAGTAACGCGGAAAAATCCTTTTATTTGTTTTTACAAATGTTAACTTGAAAATCTTTCTCAGGGGGTTTTACAGTTTAAATTGATTAACTGCACTCGTCCACGCAATCCTAGACGTTCTATTTTGAATAATTTGTAATATTATAACTATCATCATTATTATCTTTGAGTTCCTACGACATTTGAACTAAGTACTCGTCTGAGTGACATCAAACTCGTCTAGTTTACTTCGTAGTTCTAGTTCTTACTTTTCAGATACGTACTTCATGGCTTTCAATTTCAATTTAAATATTTAATTGTGCTTAATTTTTCTAATCTGAGGCAAAATGTGTTTCCTATCGGTAGCATTCCAAATTTGTCTTCCAGATTTATCCTTCAAATCCGCTTTCTCTCAATTTTAGGTGAAATTCCAAAAATTAGTTTTTCTCAGACCATTGATTTACGAAAGTGAAAGATTATTTAATAATTTCTCATCAAGCGAGAGGTACATGTAGATATCCTACCCTTTCACCGACTCT